CAAAGCCGCTTAGGCGGAAACGAGCTCTGATACCATGTAAGTAACAGAACTTCGATTGATTAAAATGAGAGAGAGCATACAAGCTTAAGTACTAACCAGAGGAGAGGGTTGGAAGGGATAAGGGGAATCGGAGGGAATCCCACGGGAATCCTCCCAAATCGTGGGGATTTGGGATGGATTGGGTTGGGATAGGTTGGAGATTAAAAAAAAGCTACACCCAACCTAACAAATATTCCTAACCCTAAACAAACAAATGACTAACACACAAATGTGCAACATTGCAGCCTATCTCCAACAGCAACCTCTCCCACCTTGGGGCCCGCGCGCCGTCCCCTTCAGACGGCCCGCACCTCCCCGCTGCTGCCGCTGCGGAGAACGTTCTGGCGGAGGAGCGCGGCGACGCGCCCCCCGCCGAAGATCCGGCCAGAGCGCAGGGGAGGGCGATGACCGAAACCCGCGCGCCAGCGGCGAACGGGCCTGTCCGTGCGCCCGGGACGGCGACAGCTCGCGACCGCGCTTGCGGGACGCCATCGTCGCGGTGACAGGTCTCGCTGGCTGTCGCCTGGCCGGCCGGGCTGACCTCTGTGCCGGCGCGCACCGCACGCAACTGCCGGCAGCATCCAAATCGCCACCATCCGCGCCAGCCATCGCCTTTCGCATCGGTGCCCGAAGAAGGCTTCGCGTCGCGCAGCTCGCCTACGGCGACTTAAGAGCTGCGCTCCGTGCACCCGTCTTTTTCCTCCTCCCCCTTCCTCCCTTCCTTCCTCCCCTCTCCCTCTCCCCCTCCCCCTCCCCCCCCTCCCCCCCCTCCTCCTCTCCTCCTTCCCCACCAACAGCAGCATCCGCATCCTTCCCCAATCAGCCGCAGTAGCCGCATCAGCAGCCGCAACCGCACCCTCCACCGCCCTTCACCTCCTCCCCACTCCCCTCATCAGCCGCAGCAGCCACATCTCCCCCCCTCCATCTCCTCCTACTCCCCTTCCTCCCCCCACCAGCAGCAGCAGCCGCCTCATCTGCAGCAGCCATCAGCAGCTGTATTTCCCCTCCCTCCCCTCCCTCCTCCTTCTCCCCTCTCCCCTCATCCCCAACAGCAACAGCAGCAGCACCCGCAATTGCACCATGACCACCGAAGCACTCGCCGTCGACATCTCCACCATCGACGTCCTCGAGATCATCGACGACGCAGTCCCTGTCAACTGGGCTACCTTTGTCCAGATTCTTACCAATGTCCTCGGATCCGCAATCATCAACGAATACTGCCTCCTCGACATTCTCCTTGGCTCTGACGCAGGGCAGCCCCCAAGCATCCTGCTGATGGCTCCCCTGCACCTCCCGCCCCACCTCCGGCCCCCTCGAGACTGGCCCCCACCAAGCCCTCCCCGCTGGTCTACACCGACGACCCTGATCGCTGGGCTCGTGTGCAGCACCAATATGACAAGGACTTTGCGGAGTACACTCTCCTCCAGCACACGTATGACGCAGAGCAAGTTCCGCACGACGCTGCCAACACCCTTCTCCAGCAACACAAGGACGCCACGGCTAAGTATGCTGACGACTTTCGTGACTACCGTCGTCGCCACTCTGCCTGGAACGTTGCCAACCGCAAATGTCTCGCTATCCTGTCTGCATGCGTTCCTTCCTCCCTCAAATGCGAAATTACCCCCTCCTCCGCTCCCGAGTTCTGGAAAGAGCTATGTGCCACCTATGACCTCCAGGACACCAACTCTCTCCTAGCGCTCCACCGCGCCTTCCTCGACATCAACCTCGACTCCTGCCCCAACGCCCTCTCCTTCACGCGCCGCCTCCTCACCACTGCCAACGCCTTGTCGATCGTCGCTCTCCCCTTCCTGACTCCCTCATCGTTTGCCGCCTCCTCGACGGCCTCTTACCCATGTACGATGCCCCGTCGCGTGGCGTTCAATGAGGTCCACGCCAGCTTCCCACCCGACTTCGCCTATGTAGCCGCATGGATTCTGAAAATTGAAGCGGAGCTTCTTCGCCAGTCTCCTCCGACGGCTCATGCTACCCAAGCAAAAGGAGGACGTGGTGCTGGCCGTGGCGGTACTTCGGCCGGATGATCGGGTGGTGGACGTGGCGAGGGGCGCAGTGGAGGACGCGGGGGTAGCAGTAGTTCCAGCAGCACCGGCGACTTTCCCCCGTGTCAGTATCTCATCCGCAATGGCCCCAACAAGGGTAAGCGCTGCCTCCAAACCACCCATGCCACCACCACATGCTTCAAGGCCCTCACAGATGAGTGGCTTGATCGAGGCAACACGGGCACGCCCCCTCGTTGGTCCGCTATCACTCCACCTCCCACTCCCTTTGATGTTCGTACCCTCCCCGCCTATCAGCCCTCCTCTACCTCTCTCCACCACATCCTCGCACAGCACCTCCCTCCACAGATCCTCCAGCAGGTCACGCCCCTCCTTCCGTCCCCACAGCCGCAGCAGACTCAGCAGACCCAGCAGCCGCAGCAGTCCCAGCAGCAGCCGCAGCAGCTCCTGCAGCAGCTCCTCCAGCAGCTGCAGCAGTCTCAGCAGCACCAGCACTCTCAGCAGCAACCCTCCCCTCCCTCCGCCTGGAGCTCCGGCCTCTCTGCTCCTGCTACTCCTGCGCAGGCCCCCACCGGATCTCCTGGCTTTACCCCATTTCCCTCTCATGGCTTCATCAACCATGTTAGCCATGCTTCTCCTGCTATTCCTCCAATGTATCCCGACTCTATTAATGAAACCTCCTTCCAGTGCTCCGTGTCTCACCCCACCCCTCCTTCCATTGAGTTTGTCATTGACAGCGGCGCCAATGTCACCGTCCTTCGTGACGCTGGTGCCCTCACCCCCCTCCCTAACCCCTCCACCATCATTGGAGCCGATTCTACTTTCTCGGTCACCTCCCGCCATACCTCCACTCTTCCCTGCCCCCTCTTCCCCTCAAGTTCAGTCACTGGCTTCCATTTCGCCTCCCTTCGCACTAACCTCGTCTCCCAAGGTGCACTTCAACGGGCCGGGGTCACAACAATTTACCTCGGCCACGCCACCCACTGTGACCTATTTCACTCATCCACGGGTCATTTCATCGTCCGTGTTCCCATGTGTCCTCGCACTCGCATGTACACCCTTCACACTCCCCGTCCGTCAACCTGTCACACTGCCTCCACCATCCCTCCCCTCCTCCCTCCCCTCCCCCCTCTGCAACCTCCCCCCACCTCCCCTCCCACCCCTCCTACCCCCCCCCCATCTCAGTGCCATTGTCGTGATCTTACACATCCTGCCATCCTCCTCCACCACCGCCTAGGGCACCCCAACTTTGCCACCCTCCACAAGGCCGTCGCCTCCGGGCTCCTCAATGGTCTTCCCCTCACTCTCCCCCCACTCCCTCCCTCCCCCGCCCCCCCTTGCACCATCTGTGTCCAGAGCAAGCTCAAGCAGCTTCCTCATAAAAGTCACCCTTCCTGCGCCCCAGAGCTCCTGGATCTTGTCCACATGGATCTCTGGGGCCCCAACCCCTCCCCCAACCGTCAAGGGCACCGCTACCTCCTCGTCCTGGTCGATGACCGCTCATGATACACCTCGGTCTCCCTCCTTCGCACGAAGGCCGAGGCACTGGCCTTCATCATCGCCTGGGCCGAGCAGGCGCGCACCCACTTCGGTCGTCCTGTTTGCCGCTTCCATTCCGATGGCGGCGGTGAATTCCTCAATCACCATCTCTCTTCCCATTTCTCCACCCATGGTATTCACCACACTTATACCCTCCCTCACTCCCCTCAGCAGATTGGCGTAGCAGAAGCTCGTGTTCGAGAAGTCACAAAGACCGCAAGGTGTCTTCTCGTTCACGCCTCCTGCCCGCCTTCTCTCTGGGGTTATGCTCTTCTCCACGCCGTCCTCCTCACTAACATGTATCCTCACCCTCTCCTCCGCTCCACCACCCCCACCGAGCTGTGGACGTCAACCACACCCGACGTCTCCCACCTGCGCGTCTGGGGTTCCAGGGCATATGTTCTCATACACCCGGCCGACCGCTCACGCACAGCAGGGAAGCTCGCCTCCAAGAGTCTACCCTGTGTATTCCTTGGTCACAACACCTCCTCCCCTGACTACCTCTTCCTTTATCCCCCCTCAGGTCGCCTCATTCGTAGTCGGGACGTCATCTTTGACGAATCCTCCCTGTACTACACCTCCCCTGCCTCACCTGACCCACTCACCATTCCTCCTCGCCCCGTCATCCCTTCTGACACTGTCACCCCCCCCCTCCTCCCCCCTCTCCCTCTTATTCCCCTACCCCCAGCACCTCCTCCTCCCGAATCTGCTCCCTCCTCACCTTCCTCAGGTGACATCCTTGACCCAGCACTCCCCCCCTCTCCCTCTCACTCCGTTTCTGCTTCATCCTCCCCCTTCTCCCCACCTCCTCCCCTCCACCTCCTTCCCCCCTCCCCAACCCCCTCCTCTCCCACCTCCCCCACCTCCTCCTTCACCCCCCCAGGTGTCTTCTCCCCTTGTCCTTCGCCACCGCCCTCATACTCGGTCCATGGATCCCCTCTTTGGTCCACCCTTAGCCCCTCCCTCCCCTCAGGCAAAGGCACCCGCTCCAGCACCCTCTGCTTCCACATCCGCACCCGCCGCAGCAACTCCCGCTGCCGCACCAGTGCCTGCCCCGGTCGCCGCACCCGCAGCGTCAGGATCCGCCGCAGCAGCTGCCCCGGTCCAGCAGCCGTGCAGCCGAGTTGCAGAGTCGCAGTGTCGCAGCATCCCCCCTCAGCAGCGCAGCAGACTTGCAACACCACCCTCCCTTCCTCCTCCTTTCTCTCCCCTCCTCATCGAAGACTCCCATGGTGAATTTCTTCGCCTTCACCTCTTCTCCAACACCCAAGCAGTCGCCTTCAGCATGACTGGCGCCCCGGTACTTGTCTTCTCCGGTGCGCCCATCATCTTCGAGCCAGGAGATTATCACGAAGCTATGACATGCTCCGACCACCCTCATTGGGGCAAGGCAGTCCTCAAAGAGAATGAGGCCTTTGTCCGCAACGGCACCTTCATCGACGTACCCCGCCCTCTCAACCACAACGTGGTCAAGGGCAAATGGGTATTTCGGGTCAAGCTCCTCCCTGGCGACGACCCGGTCTACAAGGCCCGCTACTGCGCCAAAGGATTCACGCAGCGGTACGGCCATGACTTCCTTGACACCTACTCGCCGACCGCCACTCCCCCTGTCGTTCGCGTGTTTCTGGACTTCGTCGGCCGACGCGGCATGATTCTGCACTCGATGGATGTCACCATGGCATTTCTCCAAGGTGAACTCCATGAGCGCATCTTCATGGAGCGTCCCGAGGGCTGGCACCTCCCTTTCCCTCCCAACACCGTTTGGGAACTTCGCCGCCCGGTCTACGGCCTCAAGTAGGCTCCTCGGGAATGGCATGCCAAGCTCTCCAGCACTCTCCGTGCTCTTGGTTTTCGCCCTTCCCAGGCCTCCTCCTGCCTCTTCCTGCGCACCTCCCCCTCCCCCTTCTACATCCTCGTCTACGTCGACGACATGCTTCTTGCCGCTGACAACGAAGCAGACCTCCAACAGGTCAAGGATGAGCTGCAGAAACGCCTCCTCTGCAAGGACCTGGGGGAGGTCCGCCACTACCTCGGGATGGAGATTTCTCGCGATCGTGCGGCCAAGACCATCTCCCAAGCGGTCCTTTGTATTCATTAGGAACCTGTGTACAAAGCTAGGCAAATGGGTCAGGAACGGGCATGCAACCTAAAACTGCTCTCCCTCCCCCAGCTAGCCTGAGTGGGCTTCCCCCGCAGACTCCAAAATGACGAAACAGTCCCCGAGGGACATGCCGTCGTCTGGCGCCCCGAGGACAGGCCTCTCAAGCGGGGTGGCTTCATTCACCTTGCCGAGGTATGAAAGGGACTGTCCGCGCTGGAGGGCGACCGACCACCGCTGCCGAAACTGGTTGAGCACCTTGGCGGCCTGGTACGAGGTCGGGTTCGCATTGAAGAGGCGGCGGGCGCCAGTATGGGCCAAAAGCTGTAGGAAAGCGGGCACCTCGGCACAGGGGCACCCGTAGGTCTCCACGGCGAGGGGGAAGAAACCGACGTACGGCGCGCGGTTGCGATAGTGGTCTATCTTCTTGTCTGCTTGCTCTCGCGCCATGTACCCCCTCCCTTTTCGTGCCAGGGGATCGCGGCTGCTGATCGGGTCGGTGACGGTGACGTTGCAGATTCATACAGCACCCGAGTCTCGGTCTCGGATTGCCAGGTCGGCAGTCTGGTCGCCGATGGGGGTATAGGTGGCAGTTTCTTTCTCGACGATGAACTGTGCGTCTCGTGCCATGCGGCTGCACTCGTCCCGAAGAGCATTGTGCGTATTAGTGCACCCGTGCCCTGTCCCACAGCGGAGCAGGTGGTTCGGGAGACGCGGGTCAGGGATTTCCACCCGCTTGGCGCAGTTGCAGACCCTTGGGACCGGGAGGGGGAGGCCCAGGCGGAAGGCGGGGGTGCGAGTCAGAGGGAAGGGAATAGGGGGATGGCTAGGAGCCAGTCCCCCGCGCCATACCCTGTGAGGGAGAAAAGGAGCTGTGTATGGCCACTGTTGGGGTTCAACGGCATGCTGCGGCTGGCCTCCACCTGGTCGGCATAGCGGGCTGCCTGGACCTCCAGAGATAGGCGGTGCTGCAAGGGTACCTTGGACGCCTCGGCGCGTTCCGACTGCAGGAGCTGAAGGGCCCGTGGCGGCAGCGTCGCCTCACACTCCGTCAGCCAGGTATGACGGGTGGTGGGGCTGGAGAACGGAGGCGCCAAGGGCCGAAGGGCTTTTCTCAGGGGACTAGCAGCTGCGGTGGGCAGAGAGGCGAGGAGGGCGTGGGCGCGGGTGGTGCTGGTCAGGAAGGAGTGCGGGCCTTCAACCGCGGGGTCCGTGAGGCCAAGGCCTCCTAGGGAGGGCGGTAGTGAAGCTTGGGCCCAGGTGCGGAGCTGTTCAGTTTCCCCTCGGGGCGTCTGCAGGCCACTTGCCCGCAGGAGCGTGTAGAAGAGGTCCTGCCCCTGGGTCGCCCAGGAAAGAGATGCCATCGGCGTAGGCGAGGCAGAGGACAGAGGGGTGGGCGTCCGCCGTGGCTTGGAGGGCGGGGTGGATAGCCGCAGCGAAGAGTAATGGTCCGAGCGGGTCCCCCTGGCGGACTCCGCGCTCACTGAGGAGCGGAGGGCTATCAAACCCCACGTCAAGTAGTAGACGCGATGGTTGGCCATAGGAGAATTTGACGAACGGCAGGAGGTGTCGGAGGGATGTGCCAACGAGTCCCGCCACGATCGCCCTGCGATCAACGCTATTGAACGCGTTGGCTAGATCAACTTGGGCGATCAGCGACTCCGGGAGTTCTGAGGCAAAGGCGCGTGCGCCGTGAATAATGGCCTCGCCCCCTCCCATGACGGCCACCCCGAATTGGAGGGGGAGGAAGTGGTTGCGGGCAGGCTCGGCTGAGGAGTAGAGGGCCGCTTTGCCTGCCAGGCGGTAGATTGTTTCGCCGATAGCGATGGGCCGTGTGCCTCCTCCGGGTTTAGTTAGGGCAAGGAGGCGGGAGGCGGTGAGGAGATCTGCAACATCTGCTGGTAAGTCGCCCTTGAGCATGTGGTTGATGAGGGAGTGGAGTGTGGTTGCGACGGCGGGGTTGGCGAGGGCTGCGTCACGAAGATGCTCGAACGTCGTGCCCGAGGGTCCTGCACCAACACCGTTTTCGCAGGTACGCAGTAACTTATCGAAATTTTCGCGCGGGATTTGGACCGGGGCGCCAATGTCTTCCTCTGATGGCCACGTAATGGACTCGGTCAACGCTGGTGGGTGTTTTGATTTCAAAGCGTTGAGGGTCTCGGTGGTTGACTCCTGGACGGGCGACGACTCCAGCGCCAGCAAGGCACGTCGGAGTCTGCCACGTCGCGCGAGACCTTCCGCGCGAGATATTTTGCCGACGGTGTCTGGGTTGTGACGTGGCGGCGGGGGGTTGTGGATCGAACCGACTGCCGCCTGGTAAAGTTCCTGCCATTCGCCGCGCATGAACTGCTTCAGACGATCCTCCACGTGGGTCCAGTTTGGTCGTTTCGGGGAGGCGAGGCGAAGGGTCAATCTTGGTGTCAGGAGAAAAAGGCGCCAACCGGCTAGCGAGGACCAATTTTCGCCGAGGTGCAGCAGGGGCGTCAGTAACGCCAGAGCGAAAAGGGGGCGAAGTCTGGGGGGTAGTTTGCGGGATAACGGGGGCTGGCGACTGTCGCAAAGGGGGGACATATCCCAGCTGGCGACCTCGGCAAATCTGGATTCGTCGAGTGCCAGTTCTTGTGGCGAGTACGTTCGCTGCGGTTGGCTGTTCGCTTCCAGCGCCCCACGGATATTCCGCCCTAGGTTTGGCGGGCCTCCCTGAGATCTGGAACCCCTATTCCCTCTCGTTCGTCCTTCAGATCTCCTTGTCCGCTCAGTTTCCACATCCGCCTCCGAGCTGTCAGTGGAGGAATCGGACTGTCCGTCGGGAATATAAGACTGATCCCTTTGTTCGTCATCCTCAGTTCCTCTCCTCTTTTCCTGTTCCCTTAAAGCCCGCACAGCCGCCTGCTGGTAGCCATTGGCTGGTCCACCATCGCTCCGCCGTCCCCTGCGCCCGCGGCCTCGTCCAGCCGCTCCGTGCGCCCGGTGGCCACGGGCCGTAGGAGACCTCCCCGCCGAGCCCCTCGCAGCCCGGCTCATCGCCCGAGTTCTGGGCGTCGAGTTGCGCGAGTCTTCCAACGCCGCTGCTGCGCCCGTCACGGGCGGCGATGGAGCGGGCGTGAACCGCCGTCCCTGGTGTCCGCCCGCGTCGTGAGCGATCGGCCGGCCCTGAGAGCTCAGGGGAGAGTGTCTCCCCACCCCAAGGTCCGGCGAAACCGCCAGCTGATCACTCGGACATGCGGTGGGAGCGCGGTCTCCTCGCCCCTGCAGCAGATCACCCTGCGTCGCCGGACCAGGCAGGGAGTTGCACATCAACCCCACCGCGTCGCGAAAGCCGTTCGAAAACCCCGCCGCCCGGCCGCAGCTCCGCTCCTCTGGCGTTGGCGCTGCCACGCCAGGCAGTATCGCGTCCCCCGTCGCCAATCCGTCAGCCGCAGTCGCTTCGGGGGGGGGGAGCCCCTCCGCCAGCGCACCAGTCGGCAGGAGTCACCTCGACGCCGTCCCCAGGCGACGGTAGCCCCCTCACAGCCGCCTCGCCCCACAGATGGGCGTGATCGCGTCGGGCAACGGCGGGGTTGGCGTGGCGGGAAAGCCCATCGCGGGGCGAGCGGGGGCGGGGCCGCCGCCCTGCAGCAAACCCTTGCTCGGAATACCGCCGTGCTAGAGAGCTTGTGCGCCCACATGCAGGGGGCTCCGGCCATGCGCCAGCCTGCTGCTGCCCCCCCTGCGGAAACGCGCCTCCAACCTCCACCTGCGGCGCCAGCGGATCGTGCGCCATGTCTGACGGCGTACCCCCAACCTCTCCCTGGCACCGTTCAGAATTTCCCTCCCCGGCCTCCGCCCCCAGCTCTGTCTCATCCCCAGTCCACATACCAGTTGCCTGTTCCGCCTGGGCGCCCCCCGTCTCTGTCTGAGCCGACCTTGCCCTCCTGGCAACCGCCTCCGCTCCTGTCAACCGGCCCGCAGTGGCTGGAGCCACAGCAGCCGCCCCTTCCATCGATGTTCTCAGGCCCGGGCGCCTATGGTCCGTTCGTCCCCCCACGTCAACAGCTCCCCTCGCTGACTGGAGTTGAGGCGGGGGCAGCATCAGCGGAGAGGGGGGGGGCGGAGTCCTCCGGTGAGGGCTCCCCTCCTGGTCATGTCTCCGGTGGCCAGCGTCGGAATGGCGGGGTGCGGATTCCGTCCAGGGTCCGTGTTGACCGTCTCCGGCGCGTGGAGAGGATGGTGGCGATTCCAGCCGCCACGCTCCACCGCTTTGGGCACTTGGGGACGGCGACGGGGGCGGTGGCGAGGATGCTCGCCGTAGCGCACTCTGCACTGCGTGGCACGGGGAATCCGTGGGCGCTTCCCCGCATGTCCCTCCAGAACTGCTCAGACTCATCAGATGATCTGATGATTCTCTTTGGGCGAGTGCTGCCAGCGCCCGCCCCGAGAAGCGGCATGGACCGCGGGGTTGTCCCAGCAATGAAAGCAATTGCGGCGAGCCTACATTCGGCATCAACCGTAGATCATGTTGGCGCCTGCGTGTTAGTGCTGCAATGCGTGGAGCGGCTTCTGGCAGGTTTACTGGCGACGGCAGGGGAGGAGGACGACGAGTGATCAGCACCCTCCGTTGATAGGTGCGTGGAGGCGACCCTCTGTCGAGCGTCACGGCTCCAGTGAGCTGTATCAGAGACTCCATTGGGAGTTATTTGTTCGTGTGCCCTTCAGGTCCTATGCTAGAGTTTTGAGGGGCTCCATCGCATTTGCCTTGTACTTGCTGCGTTTTATTGAATGATGTACTTGCCACCACCTCACGCTCTCATCCTATCATGCTCTCATGCTATCAAGCTATCATGCTCCCATGCAACCATGTTATCATGCTATCATGCTATCAAGCTCTCAAGCTATCATACTTCAACGCTCCCATGCACTCATGCTATCATGCTCTCATGCTATCATGCTCTCATGCTCTCATGCTATCATGCTCTCATGCTCCCATGCTCCCATGCTCTCATGCTATCATGCTATCATGCGCTCATGATCCCGAGCTATCATGCTATCATGCTCCCATGCTCCCATGCTATCATGCTATTATGCTATCGTGCTCCCATGCTATCATGGCCCCATGCTCCCATGCTCCCAAGCTATCATGCTCCCATGCTCCCATGTTATCATGCTATCATGCTATCATGCTATCATGCTCTCATGCTATCATGCTGTCATGCTATCATGCTCTCATGCTATAATTCTCTCATGCTCTCATGCTATCATGCAATCATGCTCCCTTGGTTTCAGGCGATCATGCTATCATGCCATCATGCTATCATGCTATCATGCTATCATGCTCACATGCTATCATGCTCAAACGCTCCCATGGTCTCACGCTACCATGCTATCATGCTCCCATGCTCCCATGCTCTCATGCTATCATGCGCTCATGCTCCCATGCTATCATGCTTTCGTGCTATCATGCTATCATGCTATCCTGCCATCATGCTCTCATGCTATCAAGCTCTCATGCTATCATGCTATCATGCTCCCATGCTCCCGTGCTATCATGCTATCATGCTCTAATGCTCTCATGCTGTCATGCAATCATGCTCTCATGCTATAATTCTCTCATGCTCTCATGCTATCATGCTATCATGGTCCCATGGTTTCATGCTATCATGCTATCATGCCATCATGCTATCATGCTATCATGCTATCATGCTCTCATCCTATCATGCTCTCATGCTATCAAGCTATCATGCTCCCATGCAACCATGTTATCATGCTATCATGCTATCAAGCTCTCAAGCTATCATACTTCAACGCTCCCATGCACTCATGCTATCATGCTCTCATGCTATCATGCTCTCATGCTCTCATGCTATCATGCTATCATGCTCCCATGCTCCCATGCTCTCATGCTATCATGCTATCATGCGCTCATGATCCCGAGCTATCATGCAATCATTCTATCATGCTCCCATGCTCCCATGCTATCATGCTATTATGCTATCGTGCTCCCATGCTATCATGGCCCCATGCTCCCATGCTCCCAAGCTATCATGCTCCCATGCTCCCATGCTATCATGCTATCATGCTATCATGCTATCATGCTATCATGCTCTCATGCTATCATGCTGTCATGCTATCATGCTCTCATGCTATAATTCTCTCATGCTCTCATGCTATCATGCTATCATGCTCCCATGGTTTCAGGCTATCATGCTATCATGCCATCATGCTATCATGCTATCATGCTATCATGCTATCATGCTCACATGCTATCAAGCTCAAACGCTCCCATGGTCTCACGCTACCATGCTATCATGCTCCCATGCTCCCATGCTCTCATGCTATCATGCGCTCATGCTCCCATGCTATCATGCTTTCGTGCTATCATGCTATCATGCTATCCTGCCATCATGCTCTCATGCTATCCAGGTCTCATGCTATCATGCTATCATGCTCCCATGCTCCCGTGCTATCATGCTATCATGTTATCATGCTCTCATGCTACCATGATATCATGCTATCATGTTCCCATGCTCCCATGCTCTCATGCTATCATGCTATCATGCGCGCATGCTATCATGCTCTCATGCTATCATGCTATCATGCTATCATGCTATCATGCTCCCATGCTCCCATGCTATCATGCTATCATGCAATCATGCTCTCATGCTATCATGCTCTCATGCTATCATGCTATCATGCTCCCATGCTCCCATGCTATCATGCTATCATGCAATTATGCAATCATGCTATCATACTTAAACGCTCCCATGCTCCCATGCTATCATGCTCCCATGCTCCCATGCTCTCATGCTGTCGTGCTATCCTGCGCTCATGCTCCCATTCTATCCTGCTATCATGCTATCATGCTATCATGCTATCATGCTCTCATCCTATCATGCACTCATGCTATCATGCTATCATGCTCCCATGCAACCATGTTATCGTGCTATCATGCTATCAAGCTCTCATGCTATCATACTTCAACGCTCCCATCCACTCATGCTATCATGCTCTCGTGCTATCATGCTCTCATGCTATCATGCTCTCATGCAATCATGCTATCATGCTCCCATGCTCTCATGCTATCATGCTATCATGCGCTCATGATCCCACGCTATCATGCTATCATGCTCCCATGCTCCCATGCTATCATGCTATTATGCTGTCGTGCTCCCATGCTATCATGGTCCCATGCCCCCATGCTCCCAAGCTATCATGCTCCCATGCTCCCATGCTATCATGCTATCATGCTATCATGCTATCATGCTCTCATGCTATCATGCTGTCATCCTATCATGCTCTCATGCTATAATTCTCTCATGCTCTCATGCTATCATGCTATCATGGTCCCATGGTTTCAGGCTATCATGCTATCATGCCATCGTGCTATCATGCTATCATGCTATCATGCTCAAATGCTATCATGCTCAAACGCTCCCATGGTCTCACGCTATCATGCTATCATGCTCCCATGCTCCCATGTTCTCATGCTATCATGCGCTCATGCTCCCATGCTATCATGCTTTCGTGCTATCATGCTATCATGCTATCCTGCCATCATGCTCTCATGCTATCAAGCTCTGATGCTATCATGCTATCATGCTCGCATGCTCCCGTGCTATCATGCTATCATGCTATCATACTCTCATGCTATCATGCTATCATGCTATCATGCTCCCGTGCTCCCATGCTCTCATGCTATCATGCTATCATGCGCTCATGCTCCCATGTATCATGCTATCATGCTATCATGCTCTCATGCTATCATGCTCTCATGCTATCATGCTATCATGCTCCCATGCTCCCATGCTATCATGCTATCATGCAATCATGCTATCATGCTATCATGCTATCATGCTCCCATGCTCCCATGCTATCATGCTATTATGCTGTCGTGCTCCCATGCTATCATGGTCCCATGCCCCCATGCTCCCAAGCTATCATGCTCCCATGCTCCCATGTTATCATGCTATCATGCTATCATGGTATCATGCTCTCATGCTATCATGCTGTCATGCTATCATGCTCTCATGCTATCATGCAATCATGCTCCCATGGTTTCAGGCGATCATGCTATCATGCCATCATGCTATCATGCTATCATGCTATCATGCTCACATGCTATCATGCTCAAACGCTCCCATGGTCTCACGCTACCATGCTATCATGCTCCCATGCTCCCATGCTCTCATGCTATCATGCGCTCATGCTCCCATGCTATCATGCTTTCGTGCTATCATGCTATCATGCTATCCTGCCATCATGCTCTCATGCTATCAAGCTCTCATGCTATCATGCTATCATGCTCCCATGCTCCCGTGTTATCATGCTATCATGCTCTCATGCTCTCATGCTGTCATGCAATCATGCTCTAATGCTATAATTCTCTCATGCTCTCATGCTATCATGCTATCATGGTCCCATGGTTTCATGCTATCATGCTATCATGCCATCATGCCATCATGCTATCATGCTATCATGCTATCATGCTCTCATGCTATCAAGCTATCATGCTCCCATGCAACCATGTTATCATGCTATCATGCTATCAAGCTCTCAAGCTATCATACTTCAACGCTCCCATGCACTCATGCTATCATGCTCTCATGCTATCATGCTCTCATGCTCTCATGCTATCATGCTATCATGCTCCCATGCTCCCATGCTCTCATGCTATCATGCTATCATGCGCTCATGATCCCGAACTATCATGCTATCATGCTATCATGCTCCCATGCTCCCATGCTATCATGCTATTATGCTATCGTGCTCCCATGCTATCATGGCCCCATGCTCCCATGCTCCCAAGCTATCATGCTCCCATGCTCCCATGCTATCATGCTATCATTCTATCATGCTATCACGCTATCATGCTCTCATGCTATCATGCTGTCATGCTATCATGCTCTCATGCTATAATTCTCTCATGCTCTCATGCTATCATGCTATCATGCTCCCATGGTTTCAGGCTATCATGCTATCATGCCATCATGCTATCATGCTATCATGCTATCATGCTATCATGCTCACATGCTATCAAGCTCAAACGCTCCCATGGTCTCACGCTACCATGCTATCATGCTCCCATGCTCCCATGCTCTCATGCTATCATGCGCTCATGCTCCCATGCTATCATGCTTTCGTGCTATCATGCTATCATGCTATCCTGCCATCATCCTCTCATGCTATCAAGCTCTCATGCTCTCATGCTATCATGCTATCATGCTCTCATGCTACCATGATATCATGCAATCATGTTCCCATGCTCCCATGCTCTCATGCTATCATGCTATCATGCGCGCATGCTATCATGCTCTCATGCTATCATGCTATCATGCTATCATGCTATCATGCTATCATGCTCCCATGCTCCCATGCTATCATGCTATCATGCAATCATGCTCTCCTGCTATCATGCTCTCATGCTATCATGCTATCATGCTCCCATGCTCCCATGCTATCATGCTATCATGCAATTATGCTATCATGCTATCATACTTAAACGCTCCCATGCTCCCATGCTATCATGCTCCCATGCTCCCCTGCTCTCATGCTGTCGTGCTATCATGCGCTCATGCTCCCATTCTATCCTGCCATCATGCTATCATGCTATCATGCTATCATGCTCTCATCCTATCATGCACTCATGCTATCATGCTATCATGCTCCCATGCAACCATGTTATCGTGCTATCATGCTATCAAGCTCTCATGCTATCATACTTCAACGCTCCCATCCACTCATGCTATCATGCTCTCGTGCTATCATGCTCTCATGCTATCATGCTCTCATGCAATCATGCTATCATGCTCCCATGCTCTCATGCTATCATGCTATCATGCGCTCATGATCCCACGCTATCATGCTATCATGCTCCCATGCTCCCATGCTATCATGCTATTATGCTGTCGTGCTCCCATGCTATCATGGTCCCATGCCCCCATGCTCCCAAGCTATCATGCTCCCATGCTCCCATGCTATCATGCTATCATGCTATCATGCTATCATGCTCTCATGCTATCATGCTGTCATGCTATCATGCTCTCATGCTAGAATTCTCTCATGCTCTCATGCTATCATGCTATCATGGTCCCATGGTTTCAGGCTATCATGCTATCATGCCATCGTGCTATCATGCTATCATGCTATCATGCTCAAATGCTATCATGCTCAAACGCTCCCATGGTCTCACGCTATCATGCTATCATGCTCCCATGCTCCCATGCTCTCATGCTATCATGCGCTCATGCTCCCATGCTATCATGCTTTCGTGCTATCATGCTATCATGCTATCCTGCCATCATGCTCTCATGCTATCAAGCTCTCATGCTATCATGCTATCATGCTCCCATGCTCCCGTGCTATCATGCTATCATGCTCTCATACTCTCATGCTATCATGCTATCATGCTATCAAGCTCCCGTGCTCCCATGCTCTCATGCTATCATGCTATCATGCGCTCATGCTCCCATGTATCATGCTATCATGCTATCATGCTCTCATGCTATCATGCTCTCATGCTATCATGCTATCATGCTCCCATGCTCCCATGCTATCATGCTATCATGCAATCATGCTATCATGCTATCATGCTATCATACTTCAACGATCCCATGCTCCCATGCTATCATACTCCCATGCTCCCTTGCTCTCAT